TTTTCAAATCCTAGTTTGTTTTTTCATTTTACATGGCCATATTATTGAATGGATCAAAATTCTCTTTGGTTCACTTGCTAATCTGAAATGAAGGAAATAGTATCTTTTCACCTTGCAGGAGGCTAAAGTTCTCAATTTGTGTAGCATTTCAGAAAATTTTTCCCAGTGTCTAGCCAGTGACTTCTCCATGATCACAGCTTTCCTAAAAACTTTCATAGAAATCAGATGCTGTTTGAATACTACTTTTTTTATATCTTTCAGGTATAGCAAGTATCATTTTTTGTCAGTAGTTCCAGCTTTTTTGCATTCATGTATGAATTTAAAAAAATAAACTGAAAAATATGATCCTATGCCAGAGAGGGGAGGTTTGGAGGAAAGTAAAATCTGTTAACTTTTTGGTTTTATGGTGCCTTTGTTCTGTACATCATGAGTTGTCATCAGGATTTCTCAACCTGCATTATATTTGTTGCTTTAAGGAAAAAATTATTTCCCAGAGAGAAGGAAACATTTTCCATATAGGACATGATAGCTCTTTTGGTGGGTACTGATGACTTTAAAAATTCTCTATTCCTGTTAATAGGTGTTAACTGTAGCAGAGAAGCACTAATAAACTTCCTCACAGGAAGAGAAGGGGACATATATTCCCATTTCAGTCACAGTAGAAGTTCCTGAAGTGATTTTTTTAAATCTTGTCTTTTACCTTTACTTTTTCTTTGTACATCTCATGGATTTAGTGGGCTCGCAAACAAAGCCTGTTTAAAACTGCTGGGATTCAACTAAGGGAAATTTTTTTTCACCTTTGCTGTCAATTTATGATCCAGTAGGTGAATCCTCCCCTTTAGTAGTCTGCTAACAAGCAAGTTTCAAGCCATACATGAAAAGTCCATTGTGCTCTAGTATTGCCTCTCTGTTGGGTAATTCCTGGGCTAGATAATTGAGTTGAAAAGGGCTCTGTTCCCAAACTATTAATCTAAGTCCCTAGAACTCAGAACTTTGAAGACACCTCACTTCTTTGCATGACTGTTCCAGCAGCTGTGACTCCTAGTGGTGCTAAAAGATGGATCTTAACCTTTGTTCTCTTCTTGACTCAAGTGAACATCCCTGTGCCTTTAAAGTACTCCTATTGCTAGTGCCAAAATCTTGAGGTTCTTCTCCACTCACCTCTTGGCTGTTGAGTACCTACCTATGACCTAGCTATTGAGTACCTTCCAAACTCAGAGATCAATGCAAATGAATGAATAAAGGAAAGCTGATGAGATTTTCTGTGTTTACCTAGCTCTGTACAAATTTATACTCATCTGCTTTGACTCTTTGCCTTCAACAGAAATGATTGAAGTAGAACAACTCTGAACAACCGAATTCTTGTAACAGTGCTCGACTGCACTTACTTGCCTTATCACGGTATGTTTGAGCTTGGATCTTTGCTCCTAGGAATTCTGACTGGTGTCCAAAGATATTGTCCAAGAAACTGAGAGGGATCTACACCAATCCAGCTATGACAGCCATGCAACATCAAGGGAAGATGTGTAGCTCACCTGCTGGCCTGTGTGTGCAGAAAGTGGTGAGGTGGTGTTCTCAAGCTACTCTTAAGAGCTTTCTCTCTCTGAATCTTCACAAGTAAACTGAAAATTTCTGCATTGTCTGTTCCATATGAAGGACAGCAGGGTATGTTTTCTAGCCTAGTGTCCATCTAGTCCCTAAGTTCATGGAACTTATTTGTGGAAATTCCTTGCACATGCTTAATAGGGAGAAATAAGGATGACCTGTCTGCTCCATAGAAAAAAAAATGATTTTGTTTACTTGCTTTCGGAGATTTGAGTAATAAATGAGCCATCTAAGACGTGTTAGTAGAATAATTGTCTGAAAGGGAGTGTTTGATATTGTCGGTACGGGCAAGGCTGTACATAAAACAGATGCCCAGGGCTTTGGGGAAGGCCTTCTGGCACGCTGAAGAGGTGGCTGCCTGTGTTGCAGCATTTCCAGCCCTTCAGTTCTGAGAAGTCCCCAGACAGATAAAGGGACTTCAGCAACACTGTTCCTTAACTATCTCTCTACATTTCAAGATCCTAGGTATCTACATCTTGTTGAGGTTTTGATGGCTTTTGGAGGGGTGCAGTCTCAGAATGGTGTGAGCTGGAAGAGCTTGCTGAGGACAGCTGATCATGAGCAAGAGAGGACTTCTTTAAGCTTCAGAAAGGACAAGGATCTGGTTTCATGCAGCTATGGTCTGGAAGGACCTAGTGATACTTTTTTCTGTCTGGGAAGACTAAGCTAGGGAGACTTGCTTGTAGACTGAAGCTCTAAATGTCACACTGTGAAGTGACTCCACACAGAATTTGTACCCTGAATGGGCAGATTTGTTTCACATTTGTTTCAGGTATCACCTGAATTCATAGACCACCCTGGGACAAAAGTATGAGGCATTTCAAGGATGATACCATAGCAGCAAAAGAGGCAGCCAGCAATTCAGTACTCACGAACACCAATATCCCTTCCTGGAAGCAGGACCTGGGTGATACCAAAGACATCTACATGCCCCTTCTTTAATTTCCTAGCTGGGCTAGAGCAGGAGGCAACACTGGGTTCCTCACCTCTCTGGTCCTTCCTGAAGGCATTACCCAGCCCCATAGCAAACATATCATGAATCATTCATCTTTAATAGATTATGCAAATTGAGAACACCAGATCAATGAAGATCAATACCTGCAACCATTTAATTGCCAGCAAAAACATTTTAAGAATGAGCATTATCTGAAGTCCTTTCTTGGGTAATGGCACCATTAATCCAAACATTGGATCCTGGCCTAAGTGTACAGGAAAAATTCTCCACCCCTCTTCCCCTGATGCCTTTCAGGGTGTTGAGGGGGTTTTTCTTCCCCTTTTCATTTCCAGTTTCTGAGTTTCTCCATCATTACCACCAGTGAACAGCTCCCAGTGCTAATAGTTCTGCTTTTGTTACTCTGCACTGATTGAAATGTCGCATACAGATTGAGATGTTAGTGCTAAGTTGCCACCTGGGAATGTCAAGCTGGGTCTGAAATGAACTTTTCTCACTCTTGAATCCAGATGGATCAGATGGGGATGTTCTCAAGCTGAGCTGGGAGTGTGGCAGGGAACAGAGTAGGGGTAGCACAGGGTGGGAGGAACATGAAGAAAATTTTTTTCCTCAGCATATAGTCTCTTCTGTGAGACCAAATCTGTTTCCTGCTGTGCCCTTGTGAGAGTCATGTCCAAGGCTTGTGTAGTGTCCCAGCCTTCAGGAAGCCTTCTCTCACATTAACAGGCTGGAATGCACTACTTTCACTTAGGCAGAAGGACTAAAGAGAACTATTTTCATGGTCTCTTTGAATCTTAAACTCTGATTGTAGGCACATCACCTTTACATTTAGCTGTGGGGATTTGCCTTGCTCTACTACTAGCTTTGCTTCTCAAAGACAAGAAGATATTTCTGATAAGAGCTGTGGATCTGCTAAACAGTAGATAAATACCAGCTGAGTTTTGCAAATACAAAGAAAGGTAGAATACTTTTGCCACAGCTAAGCAATTTTTTTCTGGCTGGCTAAGAAACTGCATGGTTACAAGGATTCTGAATCAAGCCTGATAGCTGTAAAAGCCATGAAAAATGTCTGGGATGTCATGTTTTCTAGACACTTGCTTAATGATGTAGTTCATCTCCCATGTTCTCCACGAGATTTTGCAGACCTCACACTGGATATCCTCTGTGTTTAACTTTTATTAATCCTGCCTGGTCCCAAAATGCTTGGTAGCCAAAAGTTGTATCCAACAATATGCTTTTGCCCAGTGTTCACTGAATAAGCAATGACTGCCTGCCTCTGCCAAGAGTTGCTTTGACATTGGGGGCTACTAGCTGGGGCTTCTGCAAGAGAAAATTGGGATAAAAACTCCACTGCTCTTGATTCTGTGCCATCAGAGGAAAACTTTTTGGTCAAGGGACCAGAAACTTCTTTCCTTGCTAACAGGAGTTATACCTCTTTGTCCTCCTCTTGAGCTGTTTCTCAGTTTCTGCCATGAGGTTTCTGCAGGGGCTACAAAAGTTGACGAGAGATGGGCATAAACAGGGGCAAGTCACTTGAGCCTGGCAGCCACTTTAGCTACCTAGGAGGAGATGTGCAAGTCTGGTAGCTGTGTGAGCAGCCACCGATGGCAACAAAAGCCTCAAGAAGAAGGGCTTTGGCAACAGAATACTTCTTTACAGCTCTAGACACACACATGGCAGGCAGTCTAACACCAGTTCCAGGACAGTGTGGGAGTGATCCATGGCCCCAGCCCAACCTGTGCCACTCAGGTTCTGCACATGCCACCAGCAAAAAGGAAGTTTCAGTGAAGCATCTGCTACAGAGATTGCCTCCTATTTCTCTGCATCCCGATTTGTCTGTTTTCATGTGCTTGCTCACAGTTTCTACTCTCCCAGCCACACCTGAGTTTAATGTGCCCACACATAAAGAAAGGCTATGAACAATTTTTTTTTTGCCAGCCCTCCTAAGAGGCTCATGGGCTTAAGGAGGAGGGAGTTGAGCAGTCGCAATTCAGCAGATTGTATTTAATTTGCAAATGCCCCTTCCAAGTGCCAGTGTCTTTCAAGTCTAAGAATAAAACTTAAACTATTGTTTCTCCAAAAGAAAACCAAGTGGAGATCATGAGTAAGCCACGATTCTATTGTTCTCAGATACAAAGGAAAAAATCACAATGCATATTTGTCCTCCACCAACATCCCAACCTTAAGCCACATCTGGGCACACAAGTTCATGATTCACATCTGGGTTTGCCTCTCTGAGTCACACCTGGACACATCTAAGTGTACCCAAAACTGCCAACACTCTGAATTTCAAACTTATGTTGAACCCTTATGTTCTCCACGGTCTGTCTCTCTCCTTGTTTGCCACAGAGGGGTATCTTGCATTAGCAGAAAAAGCAGAAGCTAATGGTGATGAGGGAAATAAATAAAAAGCTTGGTTCTGCTGTTTGGTCAGGCAGCTTACCGGTCACCACAGGGTACGTCTGGGGTCCTGACACATTTGTCCCCAGGTCTGGGTTAGCAGAGGTGGATAGACTTGATTTGACTTCATCGAGACCAGGGGTCAGAGCTGGGAGGGAGTACTCATTACCCTGGGGAAGAGAGGAGAAAGACAGCTTGCTATTGATGCGATGGGAGAAAGGGAAGGGTGTACAGATGGGGGGGAGGAAGAGGAGAGATGCAAACCCCTGCACAGATGGAAGAGGAGGAGGAGGAGGAAATGGAGAAGACAAAGTGACAAGAGGGTTGAGGGGGATGAGGGGGGGCATCCTGAACTATCCCACCCGCCTGCTTGATGCTGTGAAGGGGAAGAGAGGTGAGGGATCTGGCCTGTTATCTGTGGTATGGCTGAGCCTTCGTTCGGTGCTGTGGGGATGGGGATGGCTGTCTGTGCCAGCCCAGGGGAAAAGAAAGGGGAAATCCACATCCCCTCCTCTTGGCTGAGTGGAGGTGGGAGGTGTTTGCCCTGGTGACAAGGACAGCTGGGGCATAGGACTACAATGACATGACTAGGACAGGCAGGCAGTAGGAAGCAGCCAGTGTTGGCCCACTGTCGCCAGGGTCTCTGCCTGGGTCGCCTGCCTCCCCTCCACTGTTACCTCTGTCCTAGCTTTTAAAAACAAAGAAGCCTCATCCCCTGCCTCTGTCACTCTGTGCATTGGGGTATGAAATTGGGGAGGGGGGAGCCACATGGCTAACAGAAGGGTGGGAGGGGGAGAGCCATTGAATCTGAAAGGGTGTCCTGTCCGAAAGGCTCTGGTAATTGCCTTTTTATTGTGGCAGCCTCCAGACCAGACGCGGGAGCTGGAGAAACCAGGAAGGCTACAAAACAGCAGGAAAAGTTGCTCTGATTAATATTACGTTAAATTAAAACTGATTTTCTGCTCTTTCTCCTCCTTTTTTTTCCATGCACTTCCCCAACCCCCTCCCCACATCTTCCCCTCCTCCAGCAGGTTCCACGCATGCTGCCCCCTCCCCGCCCCTGTCCCTGCTTGGCTAGGACTGCCTAGTCATTTCCAATTCCTTCTTGTATTGATCTTCCTGTAGAAATCAGTTTTGTAATTAGCTGCAAATTAGGCCTTCTACTGGGGGTGAGCCTGCCCCCTGATTTATCACCAGAGTAATTCGCTGTGATCGGAGAGAAATTAAAATGAACTCAATTAGGCTTTGGATTTGCTTTATGGGCCCTGCTCAGAGTTTCAGGGGGAAAAATGACTGTGCTGGTGCTTAATAGTCTAATGAAAGTAAATAAAGGTTATTCATTGTAATAAACCCAGGGACTCTGGGATGAAGGGAGTCCACAGCCAGCCTCTCCTTCTCTTCCTTTGTTGGTTTATGGCTTGGGGCGGTTTAAAAAGACTTTTGATTTTCATTTTATTAAGACAAACAGCTTTTGGGATAAAAGGCCGGGAGAGAGGGGGAGTAAAGAAAAGGTGGGCAGAGCTGCAGAAGTGTGGAAAACTATGTTGGAGATGGGAGTCAAGTCTCAGCTTTGGGTCATGAAGGAAAATGATCCAATGAAGCCCAACCCTGTGGCTCGCTAGTGACTAGTGTGACCTCAAGGTACAGGAGTTTCTGTGCAGTGCAGCCTGCCAGTGAACATGGATGGGGGTGTAGGCATGTTCGCGGCAAGAACAGGCTGGCATACAGACAGGTGTGTGTGCAGAGGGAGAAGTCATGGGGACATAGGGAGAGAACAGTGTGTGTGTACATGGCAAGTTATGGAGAGGAGGTAAAGCTTGTATATAGAGGAGCATCAGCACAGTGATACAGTTACAACTAGACAGAGCTGTAAAAGGTGCGTGCATTAACAGGGCAGTGTCAGAACAAGGGACGGAGAGGGGGAGAGGGATTTTGGTGAGGGAATCTCCCAGCTATCTCAGTGTCTGTGAGTTCCCATTACCAGGCCAGGCCCTCACCTGCTCAGATTTGATGTGCTCTGATGTTTGAAAGACGTCAGGGTAAGAAGGACGCTCAAAAACTCGATCTAAAGCTTCCAGCTGCTGCTGGGTGAAAGTGTCGCCACGAAGGTGCTTCCGCAAACTGTCCACGCTGCTCTGGGAATCTCCATTGGGAACTGAGCCCTCGGATACATCTGCAGGGCACAGACAGAGAAAACAGGGAGTTAGCACCACCCTGGCTTGGATTTGTAATGGATGCAGGACAAGGACAGAGTGGAAAGAGTGAGGCTCTGTGCCTCCACCCAGGTAGCTGTGCCACTCCTGAGGGAAGAGGAGGCTGCAGGGGTCCAAGAGGAGCTCCCTCCTCTCTGATGGAGTGGCCAGGCTGCTCCAGTGGGTTCTGTGGGATTCTCCTGCCCAGGATGAGTGAGGCTGTGGAGAATGGTGCTTAGCTCAGAGATGAGTTTCGGTTCCGCTGATTTTCAGTGTTAAAAATTGCCAAATCTCCACTGCTGAGCATAAAATAGGAGCAAAGCACAGCGATTAGCATCGCTAGAAGACCACTGGAGAGGCAGTTCACAGAGAAACAAGAGTGCTGAGGATGGGCTGTACTGAAGGGGACTGAGGGAGCCTGCAATGGGAAAAAGGCTCTCTTAGTTTTGAGGGGAGCCAGTCTCTGTTGTAGCTCCCCAGTCCTATGAGCGGCAATCACTGTTATAATTTCCTTTTCATCTGATCATATCCTAGATGAATCTTTCACCCCCCCTCCCCACTTAGATAACAAGGAAATCTAGTTTCTGACTCCATGTTTCACCAGAGACAAATCTCTCTCTATGGGGCAACTGTCCCATCCAACATATGTTGGTTTCTGTCCTATTCACCTATGTGTAGCTTGTGATTTATCATGACCCATATCTCTGTTATAAAACTTCCTCCAAAATGAGATGAATCTTTGTCTCTGCCAGTCTCCCTTCTTATCCAAAATGAATTATTGTATTATAAAACCTAGTCCTGCCAAGTGGGAATCAGCCTTCCTGATATTACTTTGTTCTTACTAGGAATATAGCTGCTTTCTGGTAGAAGCTTCCTTAGAAGTGCATCTCTGTCCTTACATCAGCCCTCTGACACAGTCCAATCTCACAGCAGTACCTCCTGCCATGCTCCAGGGTGTCTCTATTTCTGTTGTGCCATCCCACACCTCTTACAGCCCACTCATCCCTTCTGCTGTGAGTCCGTTATAAATGCCCTGCCCCATCCAAAGTGAATTTTTTCCTGTGAAAAACAATCTGATCAGCTATCTGGGTTTGGTTTGGTTTTTTCCCTGTTATCCCCCAACTCAAATGAGGTGCATTTTTCTCTGTTATAACCCCTTTTTGTCTCGAGTGAGTGTCCTGCTATTAGCATCTATCATATCCAAGGTGAGTCTGTATGTTATAACCTCCTGTCCCAGATGAAGTGAATCTTCCTCTGTCATAATCCCTCATCTCATCTGAGGCAAGTCTTCTCATTATAATCTCCCCCAACTGTGCTGAGTATCTTTCTGCTGTCACATCTCAGCCTGACTTTGGTGTGCCTGCTTATAACCCCCTGCTTTATCCATGCTGAATCCTTACCTACTGTGCTTCCTCAGACACAAGTCTGACTGCCTTATCACCCTGGCCAACCTATCAGGTTCTCCCTTTTGTGCTGTAATTATCTTCCTGGTTTTTCACTAATATACCTCATACTTAAGCCTTTCTTGGTGGCCTTCAGTCTGTGAATCTCAGAAACCCGCTGTCTGTCAAGAAATTGGTGAAGGGCTCTGTATAGGCTTCTTCCTTCCTCCCTGCAATTGTGAGGTGCTCATGGACACATGATGCCCCCAGGAGCCTGGAGTGACATTCACTGAGCAGCATCCAGAACACTCTGCTGCTTCCTCTTTTAGCTCACAGATAGTGCCAAGATGGTCTTTTCCTGGCACAGTTAATGCCCAACTGGTGGCCCAGAGTTATGAGTGAGCCTGCTGCCTTCTGGCTATGAGATATATCCGTTTATAGGTGATTATACGATATGATATAATCAATAGTACATTATATACAGTAGCGTAGTACAGTACCACTCACAAGACCATAGAAAATATTACATATTGATTTGTCCCTGCCAGCAGCCTTCCCTTGAGCAGCCTCTTCTCTCTTTCTTTTCCACCCCAAGCCAGAGCAAGGCTGCTTACTGGCACTGATCCCTGGAGTTTTCTCCTCTCCCCAGGCTTATTTTCCCAAGAGAAAGTTATCAATTTCCTGAAATCTGGAGTTCATGACAGATTTGACTAAGAAAACAAAGTAAGGATCAAGCTTGGTAGACTGCACACTGTGTGGGTCAGTACAGTTTTCATGTTTTAGATGAATCCCCTGTTTCTGCAGGGGGTGACTTTCAGGAGGACTAGAACTCTGGTCTTCCCTGCAGAAAGCTGGCACAGAACTCTTGGGTCCAGACACAGAACAAAAATATTTCTGTATCAGCCTCAACCTGTCTGCAGCCTGTGGAGCTGTTTGCCTTTGAGGATTTTCCACGTGTGCCAGTCAGTGTGCATGACTGTACACCATGATGCTAATACACATGGGTATTTTTGCACTAGATAATTATTCTGTTGTTCTTTAGATTCCACATCACAGTACATGCCTGACCAGGCATTTGTCTGTGGCTGCTGGTTTTGGCTGTACCTGCTTTTCAAGGATGGCAGCCCTATAGTATGCATTGTGTTTGGTGTGAGTGAACAGATGTACACTAAAACTTTCACTGATTATCATTAAACTAGATTTTACCCTTAGTGAGTTGCCCTGAGTGCTTACACAGATTTGTGCACACATGCACAGGTATTTGCAATTCTGTCTGCCTTCAGAGCCCTGTGCACATGTGTCTTCCACGTGTGCACAGGCCATGCCTTTGTGTGAAGAAGCTGAAATCACAGCTTTCCTGGGTCGCTGTAAGAGTCTCTTTTCCTTCATTTATTCAGGGGCCCTTCAGATCTTGACAAATCTGTCACTCTAAATTTGCGAGAGATTATGGTGCTCTCTGCCTAGCACGGAGAGAGGTGATATATGATATCTGCTGCCCCTATTGATTGCCTGATCTGGTGGCAGAGGGCTGGCGAAATGAACTTGAAATGAACATCATGCCTCAACTCATTGTGCGTATAATACACTACTTAATCCCACATTTTTGAGCCGCTATGGAATTCAATTGATCAATCATGTCCCTCTGATAGTACTGTTTTAGGGGTTATTGCTGCTCTGCTCACTGACCTTTCTATTTATTTATTTATTTGTGTCAGAGTGTGTGCGTGTGCACACATAAGTGTGTATGTGCATTTGGGAAACCCAGGACCAGCTGATGAGATGAGAGAGGATCTGTACAGTCTATGGGAAATGAAAGACAAGGATGAAGGAAAGAGAAGGATAAAGAATGGGGTTAAAATAAGAAATAAGAATGATCAAAGCAAACAAATGGATACAGAGGGGTGCAAAAGTTGTAAGGAGAAAGACAATGCTTTAGTTTAGGTGGAAATTCCTGGAGGGGAGAGGGAGGAAGGAGGGGGATGGGCCATTCTGCCCTAGCCTATGCTTTAAAATCTGCAAAAGCAAAGAAACTTTTGACAGAGGCCTGCAGGGTACCTTGAGGTGGATCTTGTCTAAACAGCTTGTGCAAATATTTGGCTTAATAATGGTAGGACACATGAATCCCCAGCTTCACAGAGCAATTAAATGAACTGTGCATATATATTTTACTTATGGAGTAGAAAAGGTTTCAGAGGTGATCCTGAAAGACAGATCTTGTGTTGAGACATTCACAGTCACAGATCATATTATTTTCTACAAAACCAAATGATTGTAAGTCCCCTGTGTTTGTCTTCTTGTGTCAAAACCTACAGAGGATGTGTTTTCATTTCTTCCCTGAAACTGCAAGGGCCAGACACTTATATCTGGTTTTAAATCAAAGTTTCAATCCTCATCTAAGCGTATGTCTCTGTAAGCTGGACTATCAGGAGAAGCTTCAAGTAGTATAATACACAAAGTATGAAAGCTGACAGCCATGTGGGTACGAGCAAAGGTGGCAGAAAAGACCAGACAGGACTTTGGGGACAGAATCTATCAAAGGGCTATGTGTGCTGGTGAAGAAAGGACTTACAGGGAAAATGTGAATTGGGAAAGACTAGCAGATCCCACAAGGAATGGCAATCTGGTGGGCAACAGTCACTTCAGCTGATGAAGAACAGCACTATGAGTAAAAGCTCAAGGGACAGGGATATTGGAAGGAGTTGTGTTCAAAGGGGTAAAGGAAGGCTTCAGCTGCAGGGTGAAGCTGAGGAGGCCACCTGGGTAACTGTGATAACTGTACCCAATAGGAAGCAGCACCATCACCTTTCCCAGTTCACTTTAGTGGCAAGGGAAACCTCTCTTTTCAGTCATAAGAATCTTAAGAATCAGCTTGAGAGGCAAACCATGGCCTCAGTCACAGTGTCTCTCACAAATGCACACATTGCTGTCCGTGTGATCAGGCCTTGCACGTGTGACAGGAAATATCTCTCCTCCGAGGGACAGCCAAGGGAGTACACACAGTGAATGTTCAGAGTAAACCCTCAACCCCTGACACAGAAATGCTCCATGGGTGTCACACAAGTATTCTGACAGATAACAAGGAAATGCTGTACCAAAGATCAACAGGACAACCTTAACTACACCTGACACAGGGAATACGCCCATTAAATAATTCCAAAACAAAGAGACATTCTCAGGTCTGGAAGCCACAAAGGCACCATAATGTACAAATAGCACAAAGTAGTATAATTCATTACTTCCCTGGCTACAAATGACAGACAGAGCTCTTGCTCAGGGTGGGACGCAACCATCTCAACAAGTAACTCAGAAGTACTGCTGACATAGGGAGAGCTGTGGCATAGAAACATCTAGGAAGGTCATGAGAAGCTGCACAGCTACCACACAAACATGGAGATACTGCTCTCTTTGAGGAAAGGGGCTGTTACCATCCCTATGACATGTCTGCCTGCAGTGTCGTGGGGCCCTGATCTCAGCTGGGCCCTTGCAGCTCTACCAATAAAAATCACAGTCATAATCACAATAAAAGCGAATGTGACTGGCATGAGAACTGCCAGCCAGGTGACACAGCAGAACTCATCTAATTGTCAGAGGCTCCGAGG